TCTTCTTGACCTTGAGTCATCGTCGTCATCTTCTTCTTCTTCTTAGACAACGACGTGTTGTAGATCCTGTTCTGAGGAGAGAGAAAGAGAGGGAGGAGAGGAGAGAGAACAGGTGCTACTGCTAGGTTTGTATTTGGAAGATAAGGAAGAAAATGATTTTGTTTTCAGAGATTGTTTTAAAAATTATTTTAAGATTAATTTTAAAACTTCATTTAGCTGGTAATTTATGAAATTATTTTGAGTATAATTAAAAAATAAATTTATAGTTGATATATTTATGAAATTTTATTTTAAGTAAATATAATTAATAATTTTAAATTAATATATTAAGTAATTAATAATTAATAATCATTTAGTAATAAAAATTATTATATTGATAATAAAATAATAATTGATATATTATAATTAATAAATATATTGGTAATTCAATTCTACATCTAATGAATTAGTATCTAATGAATTAGTATGCTAAATAATTATAAATAATAATTAATAATCAGTTATACGTAATTATTATGTTACTAATGTATTTACATTTATTAATTTATAAGTAATTAATAAGTACATTAAGAAAAAAATAATTAATTAGTATATAAATAATATATTATATTCTATTTACTATTTATATAATTAACTTTTAGTTACATAATTAAATAATTAGTTATTTACTTACTAAAATTTATTTAATAATCTATTATTTAATATATTGCATGATGAACTTTTGATAATTATTCTTTAAATAATGATGAATTGCTAATTATCAATTATTATTTATTATTTATTGGCATATTACATAATTAATTATTATAATATTGACTATTAATTGAGTAATTATTATTTTTTATTTATCCACTATTTATTAAGTAATATATTAATTATTAGTTATATATTTAATAACTTATTATTAATTAATCTATCATTAATATATTATATAATTAATTGTTGGCCATTAATCTTTAACTAAATAATCAAGTTTTTACGGGCCTGTTCTTTTGTCCAAAAAACTCAAAAAAAAAGACAACTCGAGTTTCAATTTTATTCAAGTTCATGTTCTTTTAAGTTTTAACTTTATTTAACTTTACTCAACTTTATTCAAATTATAACTTCAACTCAAGTTATAACTCAAATTCAACTTAAAAACTACACTCAAATTACAATCCAAAAGAACAGGCCCTACATTTTTTTCTAGGGATTATAATGTACTTTGAGACAAATATATAGATTTTGAAGCGGAAATACACACACACACACGTAAACTTGAGGGGGGAAGCCCTCGTCCAGGGTTTTGTTATAAATTTCAAAATATTAATAATTTATATTTTAAAAATATGACATGTGGGATGTAGGATAAGAGATGCGTGGGGAGTTAAAAAAAAGAAATACTATTAAGGCTTGTTCTTTTGAGCGAAAAATTAAAAAAAAAAACTCGAGTTATAATTTTATTTGAGTTCATGTTCTTTTAAGTTTAAACTCGAGTTTGAGACTACTCGAGTTCAAGTTTCCCCTTCAACTCGAGTTCAGAAACTCAAACTCAAGTTAATGAACAGTATTTTTTCTATTCTTAAAAATGCTATAACTTGTTCGCTTTAATTCTGATTGATATGATTTTTTTTTCTCTGCGTTGCCAACGAAAAGATGAATAAAACTAGACCCATATACCCTATTAAAATTTTTCATCAGCATTGAGTTTTTATTAAAATACTATCTAAATATAAATTCAAGTTTTGACTTACTCAAACACAAACTCAAAAAGATTCTTATCTCAAACCATAACTTAAATGTACACAACCAAACGCAAACTCAAGTTACAACTTTAACTCAAGTTATAACTCAAACTCAACTCAAAAACTTAACTCAAGAATACTTGCAAAAGAACAAGCCCTTAGTTTCCTTTTTATTAATAAAATTTAATTATAAAATTAAGTCTATTTTCATAGTCTTTTTTTCTCATTTTTATTTAGTCCTTTTAAAATATTTTTTTAATCGATACAGAGAGTAGTGCTGGAACTTTGGACAGGTCGTAAGATTGAATTTGAACCTGACACCCGAACCCACCCACTCGAAGAATTCAGGCCGCCTGCCCGAGCCCGAAAATACCCTTAGACAGGCCGCAGGCTTGGTTTTGGCTGCCCGAGCCCTGTCGGGCAGCCTGAGCCCGCCAGAATTGCCTGAAAAAATATATTTTTTATTATATTATTTAATTTTTTTAATATTGTATATACATTATATATAATATACTATTATTTATTAATTGTATTGGTATATAAATAATTATTAAGTTATTTTGTATTAAAATTATATAAAAACTAAAATCAACACTAGGGGTGACAATTTGTTTCACGTGTCATGTTCGTGTCGTGTTTTGATCGTTTCTTTATAAATTTACAGTCAACCCGAACACGACCCGTGACACGAAATTTTTTAAAAATCACAACACGAATACGACACGACCACTTTATGGGTTGACACGACACGACACGAAAATGACACGTGACACGAAATTAACCTGTGAACTCAAAATTGACATGAAAATTGTATACTTTTATTTAATTTTTTACATATTAAAAATAACTTAAAATTTATAACACACTAAAATACAATAACATCCATTGAAATTAAGCAAATAATAGTATAAGATTTTGAGTGTAACTATCATGATATCATAAGTTCATAATAAAATAAAAAATATGTAATAAAAAATATATGTATTTTTTAGTTTTTTACGAGTTTCATGTCCTGTTCGGATTAGGCGGGTCCAACCCGAAATTGACCCTTGTTTTTCATGTCAATTTCAGGTCGACCCAATTCTGACCCGAACATCTTTTTTCTCAACCCTAACCCGCAAAATTCGTGTAGTTTTTGAGTCGTGTTGTCGTGTCGTTACCCAGATTACCGGCCCTAATCAAACACACACTATTAACACAATTTAAAAAATTAATTTTGTATATTAATTTTTAAATTTATAACTCATGATTGCCTTGTTAAAAACCTTAACAAGAAAAACTCAATTGAGATAAAAACTTGGTAAGAAAAAAAGAGTGCAATCATTTTGTGACGAATTATAAATTTTTTGAACTTACAAAGTCTAAATATTACAATTACAATGTCCAAAGAAAATAAATATTTACAAATTATAATTTAATTTGAAGCTGAAGGATCACCTTCAAAGCGAAATGTTAATCTATTAAATTCATCTATCCATTCCTAACTTGCCGGAGAAATTGTGTCTTGTAAATGTTGATCAGCACGATCCCAATCCTTAATGCACACTAAAGCTTCAACAATGTCCTTTTGCAATGTGTTTCAGCATTCCTCAAGTATTCGTCCGATCGTACTGAAGGCTTGTTTGGATGAAACAGTGAAAACTGGGATAAAAAAAATATCCATTACTATTCGAGTTAGGACGGCCCAAGTTAATGCTCGTGCCCTCCACCATTGAACTAAATCAAATAATTCTCTACTACCGTCGACTAATAAGCTCTCGCTGAGGTACATTATAAGCTTATTGAAGCTGCCGCCGCCGCCACCACCTTTTGATGAAGATCCACTCTCAGCTTCTATTTTAGTCGTCTTCTTCTTCTTCTTCAACCCGAAAATATTCATGAATGAATGCAAGTTTTCATCTCTTTGTTACGGTTCCTGTACTCCAGAATTTGTGTTTCTAAACCTATTCTCATATTTGCTATAGAGAGAAAATATTTTTTCCTTTATTTTCAAAAATTTGTCAGAACAATCGATGCCTAAAAATTCACCTACGTTTTCTAAACCTTCTAATTTTAATTTAGGATAAAAAATAGTACCGAAATCATACAACATTGGTAATTTAGACCAATATTTTTTAAATTTCTTTTCCATAGAAGCTATATGAACTGCTAAAAGTGGGTCCTTCCTAAATTCACTAAATAAAATACTCATTCTTAAAAGTTCACCTAAAGCTAAATGTGATGTTGGGTAATATGTTCCACTAAGTTTTAAAGTAACTTCATCAAACCTACCTAAAAATTGATACAAAGTTTCGGCAATTTGTCAATCATATGTGCCTATGTGTCCTACTCCTAATTTTGCACTAATATAGTTTGTTATAGCATCCATCTTATAGGCATATCTAGGGCTAATGGTCTAGGAGTTAGATTTAGTGTTTGTAAGAACCTAAACCATTCTTGTTGTTTTGAGTTACTACCCTGAATCCATGCAATACTATCTCTAATTGCCTTTATATGAATAGCCATTGATTTTAAACCAGATCTAACAATTAAATTAATTACATGGCATGCACAATGTTGGTGAAAAATATCACCATCACCGAACAAACTTAAATAATTTTTGAAATATTCAATTATTATAGTATTTTCACTAGCATTATCTAATGTTATAGCCATCACTTTATCTCTTAATCTATATTCATCAATTACATTTAAAATTCTATTATAAATTAAATCGGCGTTATGTGATCCTAGAACACATTTAAAACCTAATATTCTCTTATCTAACTCGAAGCCTTTAAAGTAATGTCTGGTTACTGATAAATAATCTTTGTTGGTAGTGGCAGACCAAATGTCTGCCTTTAACACAACGCAATCGCTAGTAGAGTGTAAAAGATTTATTAATGCTTCTTTTTCTTGTTTAAATACTTTTAACAAATCTTTCTTAAGAGTAATTTTTGAGGTAAACTGTGCATTAGGATTATGTACAACTTTAATATATCGCTGCCAATTAGGATGCTCTACAAAACTAAGTGGTTGATCTAATGCAACTATCATTCGCGCAACTTCTATACTATCTACTTGCGGATCGTATTTCTAAGTGGTTAGACCACCGGTTGTGCGATCAAAAGATAATTGTGTTTGGCAGAGTTCGGCTCTGCCGGTTTGGCCACGCTTTTGAAGACACCTTTCAGAGTGTCTTCTCAAGTGTGTTGTGCCGTGATTAGTGTCACATTATAATTTAAAAAAAAAAAATTTACATTGAGCTATGTGTTTAGTGTTCTCGTCATTGTCGACCTCCTCAATTGTGTCGAAGTGCTCCCGAACTATCGAAATGCGCTTGTATTTCCTCTTAGAGCTTGCAACACTTGCACTAACACTTGCACTTGTCTCTTCTCCACGCTCACCACCATTACGACCACGACCACCACTACGTCCACTATGGCTCGGATTTACAGGTTCCTCAGTTGGTTGTGTTTGTGATTCATGCATAATAAATTTGTTAGTAGGAAATTGTCCTTCCACATTCTGTTGGACTTGGGCATCAACAGGAATACCACCATAACCAAAAGAATTCATTATATAAAAATTACGAGAGAGATTTGAGAGAGAGAGCTTTAGGATATTGTGTAAGTTTTTAAAAAAATTATGAGAGAGATTGAGAGAGTTTGAGTGAGGAAAATGTTTGGGGGGATGGGGGTATTTATAGGAAAATTTTTGGGTTAAAAAATTAATTTTTTCCCCCAAAATTCAGATCCAACGGCTACTTTCAAATTCGGCTAGTCGGGTTAGGGCCGAAAATCGGGCAAGGGTAAAAAAAAGAGCCGTTGGAGATCGGGCTCTCGGGCGGCGGGTCGGGTCAGACGAATATTTTGAAAAAAAGTAGCCGTTAGCGGGCTTCAAGTATTCGGGCCGGAGGGAAAAATTAAAAAAAAAATTGGCAGTCGACGATTGGGATGGGCAAATCGGCGGCGAGCTTCCGCCATGGTGTTGTTTCTCGGGCAGCCCGAGCCCGAACCCACCCTAGTGCGTGGACGGGCAGCCATGGGTCTCTACCCGCCGACCCAAAATTTCACCACTAACGTAGAGCAAAGAGTGGTGTATTATTCTATATCATATTGCACCTACTCTCAATACCAAACTCAGACTCCAAAGTCCAAACCTAGCCCTAAACTCTGTCACGGCTCCAACCCCGACCTCCAATCCAAAACTGTGACCCGTAACGTCCAACCCTGTTAGCAAACCCTAACCTTGATCGTAAACCCAATCTCACTCAGGTGATGAAACCATCAAGCAGTAAAAGTGTTCAAAAAGGTTTAAAAAAAAAAAAAGAAAAATCTCATGAGAGGAGTTAAACACAGTACACAGTACTGTGCCTGGAGGTTGCAATAATAGTCATTCATTAAAATAAATGAATGCAGCCAAATGCTGTGTAACGTGAGATGTCTATTCAGTCTAATACCTAATAAATGTAGTCAATATTATGAAGTCAAATTCAGGAAACCGATCTTATCACTTTCTCAGTTCTGTGCATCTCAGTTTGGACCTAGGACTAGTTGCCATTGCCTACTGCCTCGGTTTTTTTTTATTTTATTTTTATTTTTTTTACGTATTTCTGTTCCCTTTGACCAAATATTTACTTGTATAGCAATGTGCTTCAAACCACATCATGATTTTTACTTATATTTCTGTTCCCTTGACCAAATAACATGAGATTTTTGTTTTTCTTCCTTTTGCGATTGCAACATATATATACTCTCTTCTTCTTCGTAAAAGAGATATTGTTTTATTTAGCAAAAAAAGAAAAAAAGAAAGAAAGAAATATTAGTTTGTACTATCAATAATTCAATTAGATTTTAACGAATTGTCCTATGAATGAATGAGAACACTTTAGTATCCTGCAATAGACTACTTTAACTTGGACATTAAGGATGAGCATAAATCCAATCTTAGGAAAAATAAATAAATATCTCATGAAATGTATGAGTTTTAAATTTTATACACTTAATTAATATTTTTTAGTCAAAAAGTTATATTAATAAAAAATGTATTAATTAATAATAAAAGATAAAAATTTTAGAATAATATATTTAAAAGGTAAGCTCACCAACTTTCTCTAAATATTTCACTATAGCCAATCCAAATTATATATTAGATTTTGAGATGCTGACGGTGTCTAAAGGATAATAAATAAACTTGAGTCTAAATTCTCATATCATTTAAATATAAAAACAATCATAAATATGTATAGTATTTGAGACACACAAAGTAATAGGTTGATTTAAAAAAAAAAAAAAATTTTAGAAAGTTTTGATTCCTTTAAGCATCTAATCCAATCCAAACAATTATCCAAAACCAAAATTTAAGCATATATGATATATCTTCAAATATATTACAATAAATTATAACACTAAGGCCTTATTCATTTGAGTTTTTAGTTTTAGATTTTTACAGTTAAAATTTTTTTAAAAATATCACATCTAACTTTTTCTATTACAGTTAAAAACTCTTAAAAAATATCACATTTTAAATTAAATTAAAAACTTAAATATGTGAAGTGAATGAGGCTTAAGTCATCAACTATCAACTGCAACTTTAAAACTGAGTAAAAGCCAGCAGATACAAGTGATACAAGTTTTAAGATAAGGCTGGGGGCCTAGGTCCCAGGTTTGAACCTGGGGCCCTAGCAACTTGTGTGTGTGTGAGGTTGGGTGTGTGTGGGGGGTAGGGGGTGGCTGTGTGGTGGGTAGGGGCCCAAGGGGGCATTCAAACCAAAAATAAATAAAAAATAAAAATAAAAAAATTTTAGACAAACGAACATTAGTACGTCTAATAAGAAATAGCAACAAAGACACATGCATAGCAATTTTTCTTTTTAAATACTGAAAAAAATTTAGAAGACATATTTTAGATAGTCTTAAGTCCAACATCTGGATTAGTGTAATATTCAATAAATATAGTCCAATACATACAAAAACAATTATACGTATAAATGAACGATGTTACACACATATATAAAAAGGTTACATTTAGTAAACTATACGATTACTAATCTTTCGACTTTGTCATATTATTTTTAATCTTTATATAAACAAAATAATAATTAATCTATTCAAAATATATATTATACATTTAATTTTTTCAGTTTAATGATATTTAGATCTAACTTTTGTTAAATTGGATTAGATTGGGTAAGTCGATTATACAATCACATTGGATAATTTACTCACACTCATAAATCATACGTTAAATCTAATTTAATAACAAAAAGAATTTATGACGCCTATAGGGCAAAACTCCTACCTTAGAATTCTCTTCTCTCTTTTCCTGAAACAGAGATTTTATCTTGGTTCAAATAGAGGTGTCAAATGGGCCGGGCCGTCCATGGACGGCCCGGCCCAGCTCGTAATAGTGCATGATTCGGCACGGCCCGGTTCGTTACTGTTACGGGCCGGGCCGGCACGACACGTGTAATGGACTAGGGCTGGGCCTCAACTTCTCAGCCCGCGGCCCAAGCACGTGGAG